GTGTGCGTTGTCATATTTAAAAGATTCAAGTCTGGGCATCATCGGCTCCCATCTAACCAGGAGGCTATGATCAGATGATCATAGTCAAAAGCCTGGGCAGAAAAAGGCACGTGTGTCTCTTATCTCCAATTAACCAACAAAACACTGGAAGTAGAGGTATGGCTCAAGTGGTTGAGCATCAGCTGTAGGTAGAAAACCTAAGGGATAGTGCCGTGGCTCTGAGTTCAAGCCCAGTACTGGCATACATGCATGAAATAAAAGTATAAATTTTCAAACATATACCAACGCTTCATGACTCATCCATTTCCCAGGAGCAACAGATATGGACTTAGGGTTCATCTGTGTTCATGGATTTCCCCCACCCCCAGCCAGGCACACCCCCCTAATCCCCCCCCCAGACTTCAGGTAGCCACTTCTTTCTTTCAACAGCTGTACCAGCTCAGGGGGACAGCCTCTCCCTGTGCCCTCACCCCTCAGCCCGACCAAATGGCTCCCGCCCTCAGAGCTTTCTAGACAGGAAGCCTCCACCATCAGTCTAGCTCATTTGGAGAAGGGGAACAACCGGATGTGGCGTTCTTCTGCCTGCTGGGGTTGTTACCATAAGGAGAAGACTTTCTAGACCAGCCTGGTCTTGGACCCCTATCCTAGCATGCTTCCAATTCCAGTTCCTGCTTCAGGATGACTTAGGGGGTCTCCCTGCCTGTCAGTCTGAGCAGGAAGTGTCTGCAGTTAGGTTTTCTGTCCCCCACCCCCACCCCCCATAAGCTGGAGGACTCTCTCTTCCGGCATCTGCAGATGTGGAGTAGAATACCTACCTACCTGTCTTGCAATGTGATTTAAAGTAGGTTGGCTAGAAGAGGATGCAGTACTGGCCATGGCCAGGAGGTGTCGCCCAACAACAGCATCCTGGAAACCTTTGGGCGGGGTGGGGGCCACTTCCATGAGCTTCTTTCAGTATTAAATCCCCTTGGACTACAGAGGAAGTGGAAGAAAGTTCCAGCTGTGGGATCCCCTTTGGAGCAGCCGGTTTAGGTCTGGCTCTACTCCGAGTCAGAAAGTGGAGTTTTGGAGTTTTACAGGTTTCAAAATATGCTGGCGTGCAGAGGCTTCACCACAAGGCCAGCATCGAGTCCCCTTTGACAGCTGAGGAAGTTGAGGCTTTGGAAAGGCAACTGCAGCCCCTGGAGGACAGATCTGGGGCTCCAACCCCAGCCTCTGCATTCTTGACATGGTGCGGGGGTGTATCCCCACAGACCCAGCCTTCAGGAGGGGACTGGAGGCTGCGGCCTGGGAGCCCTTGGGGAAATGGAAAGGCACCAGTGCTCCCAAAGTTTTACAGGAGGTGTGCTATCTTCTGAGTCTCTCTGGGTCTCAGATTCTGCAGTTGAGCAAGGGGGATTTGACTCGATCAGTGGCTTCACACACACACACACACACACACACACACACACACACACACACACACACACACACACACACACATCAGGAGAGGGAGAGGGAACACCCATACTGCAGAAGCAGGGGCCTGGATATTTGAATGGAAGAAATCAAGAAAGCTGGGTCACACGGCATCAGAGGAAGAGGACGCCTGGGCGAAGGGCCAGAGGGTCTTTCAGACCTGCAGGGCTGGTTTAGAGGAGCAGCGCCCCCAGGAATCTGCCCAGCCACCAGGACGGGGCAGGAAATGTTGTCCAGCTCAGAGTGGGCAGTCCATCCAGGGTGGCCCTTCTGTCACCCTATCCTCTCGGGAGGAACTGAGCATGCCTGGCCCCTGGGGGAAGGGGAGGCTCTGCTCTCTGGGAGAACAGCCCAGCCCCTTGGTCCCTCCAGGCCTGGGGGGGGGGGGGGGGGGCCTCTCTGGCTTCTGTGTAGCCAAGCTGGTGTGTGGCTCCCCCTAGTGCCACAGGGTGGGATGGCAGAGCTGGGTTCTTACCGCCCAGGCCTGCCCAGCACCCTGTCACAGACCGCCCCAAATGTGCACAATTACCCATAATGACCCGGTGCACCCAGAGCTGGAGAAACCACCTCCTGGGGACCAGATTGCGCCCCTCGGGTAAGGCCAGTGGTAACAACAACTCCAGAACCGAGAGAGTGACCAGCCAGGCCACACCTGGGACCAGGACTCGTAAACTATCTTGCCTCCATCCCCCGCCCCTGATTCTTCCTCTACCTAAACGTAATCCTTATGTCTGCACCCGAAGGATGGCTGGAAATGAAGTGCCATCTTCCCATGGCACCGTGCCATGCAATCTCCTTCCCCGTCCATCTTTCTCTTTTAATAAACTCTCCTGTCACCTTCACTACATTCCTGTCTTGCCAAAATTCTTTTCTTGCCAGACATAGATAGTTGTGCTGACTTTCTGGCAATACTTCTTAGTCCTTAAAAGAAGTGGGGAGTCCCAGCTGAGCTAGCAGATGACCCAGGGGCTGGGAACCCTCACAGACAGCCGAGCCAAGTCTGCGCCATGGTTCAAAAAGCACCAAGGAGCTGGGCACCAGTGGTTCACCCCTGTAATCTTAGCTATTCAGGAAGCTGAGATCTGAAGATTGAGGTTCAAAGCCAGCCTGGGCAGAAAAGTCCATGAGACCCTTATCTCCCATGAACTACCAAAGAGCCAGAAGTGGATGTATGATGGCTCAAGTGGCAGAGCACCAACCCTGGACGCAAAAAGCTGACCCACAGCACAAGACCCAGAGGTGGAACCCCGGTCCTGCGTGCTGGCCAGAAGTATGCAAATGCTAAAGCATCCCGCATCCTGCGATGCCCTGCAGGGCTCGGGAAGGCATCCCGTGCCAGGGCTAACGTGTGGACGTGGTGCTGAAATGAGGAACCTGTGCAGTGGGAGGTGGAGGCGGGGCGTGAGGAGCTTGGCCATCATCACCTGGTTCCTGATTGGCTACACCCGAGCTCGCGTCCAAGCCTGCTGGGGCCCCAGCCTGCCATCTTAACTGTGACACCAGGGCGGGAAGGCTTCGACGATTCCCCACCTCCACTCAGCACCCACACCGCCGACTCCCCAACACCCCGCCACCCCACCCCAGCACTGCTGCCTGTGTGTTCACCCAGAAAGTGCTTCCTGAGCACCCAGCCCGCGCCTGGACTGGGCTGGGTGACCATCCAAGGCCATCCCTGCCTCCTGTAGCTTGTTGGCATCAGGGTTCAGACTAGAGTGGGCATGCACAGGACACAGGATGACACAGGGCAGCCTGCCAGAGGCCCAGGATGCTGACAGAGGGAGCAGGAAGGGCCCTGGACCATCTAAGACTTGCCTGGGCCCCTACTCCCGCCCTGTCCCGGGACGGGTGTCTAGGGGCTCGGGCCCCTCCCGAATGACTTCTTTGACTTTGCAGAGGGCATGTGGTGGCCACTGGAGCGGAAATGGCTGTGCTGGGGATCCGAGGACAGTGGGTCCCAGGCTGCCAGTCCAGCATGTGCTCGGTTACTGATTGACAGGGGCTTCGGAGGGAAGGCAGGAAGGCGGGAGGAGGAGGAAGGGCCCGGCACAGCATTCTCCATGTTCCCGTGGCTCCAGGTCGCCCTCTGCCAGCAGCCCCTCTTTACCCTAGACGGAGGACCAGCCCCTCCAGGCTCTTTCCCGGGCAGGGAGAATGGGGGAGAGGAAACTTGCTGGGGGAGGGGGAGGAATCCGCACAAAGTCCCAAAGCATTTTTTTAAAAAATGGAGGCTGGATGCTGGTGGCTCATGCCTGTAATCCTAGCTACTCAGGAGGCTGAGATCTGAGAATCCAGGTTCAAAGCCAGCCAGGGCAGGAAAGTCCGTGAGACTCTTATCTCCAACAAACCACTCAGAAAACCGCAAGTGGCGCTGTAGCTCAAGCGGCAGAGCACTCGCCTTGAGCTGAAGAGCTGAGGGACAGCGCCCAGGCCCAGAGTTCAAGCCCCACAACCGACATAAAAAGAAAAAAAAAAAAAAAAGGAAGGCTTACACTGGGACCACCACACCTGGACATGGGCCCCACCCCATCCAGGTCCTAGTGGGAAACCAAGTCCAGGCAGGGAAGGGGAGAGGAGGGGAGAGGGGGGAGAGGAGGCCAGCGTGCCTGAGCATGTGGGCAAGACCACACCAGAGCTCATCTGCCCACACCCGGCCTCGTGCCCGGCTCTTCCTGTGTCAGGAAGTGGTGAGGAGCGGCCAAGCCTCACCAGGTTAAGCAAAGGCCCAGAGGCACCACATCCAGAGCCAGCAACTCCTGTGGACCTGTCCCTGGGGTCCTCTTGGGTCCTCCCTGCCCTCCCCCACCTCCTGGTCAGGCCGTGACTCCCGCTGTCTCCATGTTGAAGGCCCCAGGGTGCTCAGACACCAAGATGCCCATTGATTCTGCCCAGATCCGCAGCTGGGATCGAGGAGGGCCGCTCAGGCGGCCCACCTCTGCCCTTCCTCCCTTACCAAAGGCCGGTCTCCACTTTTCTGCCTCTCATGAAGTGGGGGTCTGAGGCTCAGGGTTCCCCAGGAAATCAAGGGATCGTGGGGGCCGGGAGGAGGCCGAGGGGACTGGACATTGGAGGAAAGTTGAAGAGGAAAGTTGGGGGGAATTTGAAGTGGGCAAGGCTCCCTCTTGTGGCAATATCAGGGATTGCACTCCAGGACCAGGACTGTGTCCAAATTCTCGTGCTTGGTTGTTGTTTGTGACCAGCTTACAGGTTTGAATTGTGGAAAATCTCCAAGTGAAGTGGAAGTTCACTAACTTCCAGTCCTCGCGACCTTCCTGGAGAGCTAAGAGGAAGGTCAGGGCTGTACACTGTCCCGCACACTGGAGGCCCCTCAGCCTCGGTGTCCTGCAGGGCCTCCTGTGAACCTTCAGACCTCTGCAAGGCATACAGAAGCCAGGCCTCTGACCCGGGGACTTTCCCAGCCATCCATTCAGGGGGAAAAGAGGAGACACCTCTAGGTGACAGGCAGCCATGAACTTGCTTTTGCAGGCAGATCGGCCGTTCTGCCTGAGCAGGTAACAAAACAAAGAAGACCAGGACACAAGAAAGACCCGGCCATCTTGTACTTGGATGGGAAGAAGCAGGTGGGGCAATTACAGGAGGGAGGCAGCAGCAGGACAAACGTCCTCACGGGGTGAACTTGACACCTCCTTTAGCGTCCTGCAGAGGGCTGGCTGCCGTGGGAGCAGAGGTTACAGCAGCCCACGGGACAGGCGGCGTCCGTGGCCCGGTGAGCGCGGTGAGCTCTGGGAAGACAGGCAGGATTGGGGCGGGCAGGGTGGAGGTGGGGCGCTGGGCATCTGTCTCTTGTCTGCCCAGCTTCCATGCCAGGCACTGGCCCTGTCACCTTCAGCCACGTGATGGAGCCTACGCTGATGGACCCCCACAGTCCCCCCCCGTACCCCCACATACCTATCCTCACAGCTCATCTTGGCTGACCTGCCTGAGAAGGGGAGAAGCAGACAGGCAGAGGTCAGGGGGACGGGAGAGTCCAGGGTCCTGGAAACTAGGGAGGGGGGACCTGCCCTCCCCCACACCCCCTCCCCACCCACCACCTCAGTTTCCCCAGGCAGCACTCACCGGTGCTTTTTGCCGCCCCCACAGCGGAATCGTTTACCTTGGAAAGACAATAGCATGTTTGTTTCTGTTGACTTCTTTCTTTTTCAAGGAGATCCTGCGAGATCTGGCGCCTCCAGGCTCCCCTGCCCCCTCCCCTCCCGCCAGGGCCACAGCCATGCCCGCCTTGGAGGCCACATCTGACCGGCTCTCTTTTTACAGAGGGCTGGACTGCGGGCCTTGGACTGCGGGCCTTCGAGAGCCCAGGTCAGGCAGGCATTGGCAGGCATTTACTACCGCAGCAGGTGCACTGTGTGTGGAGGAGCAGCTGAGGCCGGCAGGCTTGGGGTCCCTCGCCAGAGCTGCGTGCACAGTATTTCAGTGCTGGGTGCACAGTAGCTGCTCACGACACGCTTAGAGAAGGATGGAAGTAACCCCAAAGCCAAGATTCCCTGCTCAGGCCCACCTGCCTCCCGCACCTGAGTGCCGAGCCTCTCCACGGCTCTTCCCTCCACAAGTGGGGGGTTCAGACAGGCCTGTGCTCAGTGCCTCCCGGGGTGAGTCCGATCGCCCCCTGTCCCGTGCTGGCAGTGGTGCTGACAGGGCTCACCAGGCTGCGGTGAGGCTCAAGCTCAGAAAGGGTAGTGTGCTCTCTGCCAGGCCACTAGAGGGCGCAATAGTTTCCTTCCCGCACCATGTACCCGCACCCCACACCCCAGCACCCCACACCCCAGCCAGCCTCCCTTCCCACTTACTGAGCAGGATGAGCAGCCCTACAATGAAGGCCAGGCCGGCGAAGATCAGGCCCCCTTTGCGGACTGTCTCATAGTCTGGGGGAGGAAAGGGGCGTGTGGTGACCCCCACTTCAGGCAGCCCTCCCGCCCTCCCCCCCCCGCCCACCTGGGCGTGTGGTGATGGGGAGCGGAGGGGGCCCTGTGCAGACCCAGGGCAGGGGCTGCAAGGGGGGAGGGAGGAGGGTTCTGGGGGGGGGAGGAGGGCTCCTGGGATGGGAGGAGGGCCATGGGGGGATAGGAGGAGGGCTCTGAGGGGGGGAGGAGGGCTCTGAGGGGGGGAGGAGGGCTCTGAGGGGGGGAGGAGGGCTCTGAGGGGAGAGGGCTCTGAGGGGGGAGGAGGGCTCTGGGGGATGGGAGGAGGGCTCTGGGGGGAGGAGGGAGGAGGAGGGCTCTGGGGGAGGGAGGAGGGCTCTGGGGGGAGGGAGGAGGGCTGGGGGGGAGGGCTCTGGGGGACTACCCGGCTTACCATAGTGAAAGGGGTCCATGGCCTCTTGACTGCTTCCACCTGAGGAGAGAGCCAGGGATGGGGTGCGAGGTGCCACAGATGGGCTCAGGGAGACCTGCGGTCCTCCCCCACCCCGGGGGACGAGGCTGGAGGGCAAGGTGCTGGGGGGGACATGGGGCAGTAGACACAGACACCCCCTCCCTGCGGGGCATGAGCCCAGAGTCGGAGATCACACAGGGCAGCAGGGAATCGGGCTCGGCAGAGCCCCACCGGCCAGCCTGCCTGCCCGGTGCGGCGGATGCTGGAGAGGTGGACGGGCCTGGCCCTGCACTCTGCCAGCCAGGGCGTGTCAGAGGGAGACGCTCACACAGGGGCTCCCAGTGTTAGACATGAACATACAGCTGCCACAGCCTCGGCTCATTTGCCCTGCAAGGCACCAAGATCATCCCAATGTCATTTGTGAGAGAAATGGAGGCACAGAGAGGGTAAGTGAGCCACCACAGTCACACAGCACGCAAACACACTGACGAGGGCTTTAACCAATCTGTGCACTCTCAAGATGGCAGCAGGAAGGAGTCCCCAGTCCATGCTGCCCGGCCTGCCACCACCCCCCCCCGGGCTTCCTGCTGGAGGCCCTCCTGGTACCAAGGAGCCAGACCAGCCTGAAAGAAAGAATGTGCAACTCAGCAGCCACCGGGCAGGGCTGAACTGTGCCCTGGGCAGTGGGCAGCCTCGGGCCGGCCGAGCCCTGCCAGTCCTCAGCTAGGAAACATCAAGCTGGGCGGGGTCAGTGCCTGCTGGACTTCAGGAAGGCCAGAAGCCACGGGAAGAACAAGGGGACCCGGACCCTGGTCCCCCCATAGCAGGGAGCCTTCAAGGTGACTCCCGGATCCGATCCAGGCACTGTCGGAGGTCGCATGGAGAGTTAGCCGCTGAAGCTGGACCCAAGTGACCCACCTCACCACACCTGGAAGCAACTCCCCCGGACACCCTGTCTCCAGCTAGGCGGTGAACCCCACGCCCACCCACGCCAGCCAACAGGCACGCATAGCCCCACCAACGCCCACCTATGCCCACCCATGCCAGTCAATAGCCACTAGCACCATCCACGCCCATCCGTGTCCATCCATCCATCCACGCCCACCAGTGTCCACCCAGGCCACCCACCAATGCCCACCCATGGCCTCTTCTTTTCTGGATCTCTTCAGATGCCACTTCTGCCAATACATGCCCACCTCCCCCCCCAGGTCCTTACCTACCACAGGCCCCTGAAGGACTCTCACCCCAAAACAGCCCGGAAGGCAGAGTCTACCCGCCTCTGGCCACTCAGAGTCCAGCCGGCCCGGCCCGGGCAGCGAGGACACGCTCACACCCCAGGTTCACCGTCCAGGCTGCTTTCAGGGTGAAGGCAAGGCTCCCCCTTTCTCAATGCAGATTGTCTTAGGGAGGAGGCCGGTACGTGGAAGGCAGGCCGGGGGCAAGAGGGAGAAGAAGGAGAAGGAGAAGAGTCTCCTTGCCACCCCCCAGCCCAGTGCCTGCTCACACTCACACACACTCACCCTCACTCTCCGGCCACATAGCCACGGCCACCTTCCCCGTCCCCACACCCAGCTGCTCCACTTGAAGATGCGTCTGGACGGGCATTAAACATTAACCGCTCCAGCAATGTTTACCCGCACGAGCAAAGGCGGGCGGGCTGCACCGAGGGGCCACGGGAGAGCGCTGCCTGGCTCTCCTGCCCCGCCCCGCCCCAAGGAAATTTCCAGAGAGAAGGCCGGGGATGATTCAGTAATGGATTCTTCCACTGGCCTGACCAGCCACATCTGGGTGGGTGGGGAGAGCTGAGGGGCCCAGGCTGCATGCAGCCGAGTTGAGTTCCCGTGGCCCCCCCAAACCCCCGGCAGTGAGCGAGCCCCCCACAACCCTGCAGAGGCCGCGGCCGCAGGCCCAGGGCCTGGCTCATCTCTCTCCCACCGCGGCCCCCCCGGAGACCCCCAAATCCCCAGCTTCTGCAGCCCGTCCTGACTTCCTCACTCATGCCCTGGGCCCAGTCCAGCCCTCAGCCCTCCGCCAGAAAGCCTCCGCCCTGCTTCTAGACTCTTCCACGAAGAAACTGAGGCTCCTGTCCCCGCCCCCGCAGACAGCTGTGCCATGATCTCATTGGCAGACATGGGAAACTGAGGCCAGGGAGGCCTGACTGAAGCTCGCCAGCCACAGCAGCGGAGCCGCAGAGCCCGATCCTCCAGGCTGTGCTACGCTACTGTCATGATTGTCACCTCTGGTGACACAGCTGAGTCCCTCTCCCCCAGCACAGGACCGGAGGGCTGTCCCCTCGGGAGCCAGCGAAAAAATGAGGAATGGAAGACAAGGAGAGAGGTTAGACAGGGAATAATAGGGCTGGATGCAGAGAAAGAGAGATAGATAGATCATAGATAGATAGATAGATAGACTAATAGAGAAATGGAGAGATAATAGATGATAGATTCTAGATAAGATAGATGATACAGGTAACTAAATAAGATAGATGATAGGTAGAGACATAGATAAATAGAGATACAGAGATAAATACATAGAGAGATGTATTATAGACTCAGAGAGATAATAGATCAGATAGATAACTAGGTAACTAAATAAGGTAGATGGTAGGTAGGTAGGCAGATAGATAGATAGATAGATAGATAGATAGATAGATAGATAGATAGATAGATAGATAGATAGATAGATAGATAGGAGATGGATGCTGGATCGATGGATGGGTGGATAATGGATGTGCAGAAGGATGGATAAATGGGTAATGGATATGCAGATGGATGGATGGATGGATGGATGGGAGGCATAATGGGTCATGATGGATGGACAGCCTCCATGGAGGAGCTCACTTGGGGCCAGGCACTCACTCCACAGAAGTCGCGCCCTTGGCCTTCAGGTGACCCCACAGGGTAGGGAATGGGGGTCCTCACCCTACTTTCTGGAGAAAAGCTAGGCACAGGAGGAAGGGGATGTATGTGGCCAAAGGGCTGGCAGCTAGGATTGGAAGTGGGAGGAGTGCAGCAGCTGGCTGGACAGACAGACAGACAGACAGACAGACAGACAGACAGACAGACAAAGGAGGCTGCCGGAGAAGCTCCCATCCCAGCCTCTGTCTGGGAGGAGCTCAGAACCAACAGCTTCGAGTTGAGAGCCTGTCACACACACACACACACACACACACACACACACACACACACACACACACAGAGGCACGCCTCTGCTTTGCCAGCGCTCATGCCGGTGTGTTTGAAAGGCGGCAGCCCGGGCAGTGGGGAGGGGCCGGGCTCTGGCAACTCACCCAGGTACCACCTGTGCATGGCGGGTGCGGGAGAGCGGGGTGCGCTGCTGCTGCTGCTGCTGCTGCTGCTGCTGCTGCTGCTGCTGCTGCTGCTGGGGTGTTCTCCACACTGAGCGAGCGGAGCCCCGACAGGAAGATCAGGCCAGGAGGAGGGGCTGGCCAGGGAGCCCAGGCCCCCCCCCCACTCACCTGCCTGGGCTGGTTGGGGCGAGAGACCCACGTGAGCGAGAGGAGGGGGACTTCCATGGCCCTGGGCACGGGGTGCCAGTGCCCCCCCCGCCTGCTGCCCCCCTCCCCAGAGCTCCATGCACACAGCCGGGTCCCCAACAAGAAGGCCAGGATGGAAGAAGGCAGAGCCCCAAACTCACTCTGCTCCGGCCTGCTGGCTGCTGGCTCTGAGAGGCTCCGGGGCACCTGTGGATCCCCCGAGTCTTTGCTGGGTGAGCCCTGAGTCTTCACCCCACCCCCGGGTCTGCCCTCGGGGGCGTGTGTCCAGCCTTGGCTTTGCAGCTGCCAGTCCCCTGAGCCTGGACGGGGGAACAGCAGCTCCCTGCCCAAGGCGCCAGGGCGGACAGGGCGGGGGCACCGGCTTCCTGTCCTTTGAGCGACTCTGGGGCTCCTGGGGTGCCCTGCCCTTCCCCCACAGGGGCGTCTCATGGCCACAGGGACCAGACACTGCTGTGAGGTCACATCCGTCCAACCATCTCTGAGGACTCGGCGCCTAATGAGGCCTCTGAGGGCCGCTGGTGCCAGGAAGCAGCCAGGAGGCCATGCTTCTGGTGCCAGGGTGGGGGAGGGTGGGGAGGGCGGGGGAGGGCAGCCCACCCTGCCATTCAGAGGTCACTGGGGCCAGCCAAGAGCCAGGCCACGGTGAGGGGCCTGTGTGTGGCACCTGCCCTGGCATGGCCGCACTAGAGCCTGGCCATGCTGGGTCTGGTCTCTGTGCCCCTCCCAGCAGCGAGGCCGGTCCTGAGGCCCTGCTCTGCAGGGCTGGGCCGAGGTCCGTTCCAGGGTCCTGAGCCGGGAGCTCCGACCCCAGGCCTCCTGTGCCCCTCCTGGATGTCCACAAGGCCAGGGACAACGCTGCCGTGGCTGTGTCACATGTGTCTAAGTGCAAACCTGAGCCTCCCAGCGGAGTGGAAATTCCCCGAGCCGGGTCCGTGGAAAAGTCGAGGTGCCCAGTGTCGGGGCCACCTGGGACTTTGAAGTGACCTGGCGCAGGCATCTCACCTGAAGAGCCTTGTGCTCACCCCCTGACTTTGTGTTCCTGAATTCCCCACGAGTCACTGTTCCAACCGTACTGGTCACCTGATGGGCTGCTAATTCCAGAGCTCACTCCTGCCTCAGGATCTTTGCACAGGCTGCTCTTTTTCCTGAGGCCTGGAACGATGTGTTCAGCTCCCAGCTGGACACATATTGCTGTCAGGGCTCTCCTCCTCGGTCTGACTCGGAAGACCCTTCTCAGTACCCCGGTCTAAAACTTTCACATCACCCCCTGGGACACGCCAACCCCCTTCTTGGCTTCCCTTTTTCTCCGCAGCACCAGCTGACACATTCTGTGCTTTCCTTAACCTGTTTGTTTTCCTCTTATCCAAAAGGATTGCTCCAAGAGGTCCAGGACCACCGTGTTGGTCCAGTCCTGGACCCTCCGGCCTGGGATGGCTCGGAGTAGACCTTCGGTCTTGTGAGATGAATGAACCAGTCGCAGAAAGATGACATCAGAACTGGAGCTTGCCTAAGGTAGCCCGCCCTCCTTCCAGGCCACAGGTAACTGGGCCAGCACCCCACCTTGCCAACAGCTCCCCCAGGAGCCTTCCTGAGGCATCCCCTCCCTCCTATTCACACCCCTCTCAGCCCCCTGAAGCCCTGATGCACGCACATTGGATAAGAGTTGCCGAGATCCTGCCTTTCCACCTTGTTCCTGTCCAAGCCTTTCTCATGCCCTCCGCCCTCCGCCCTCCGCCCTCCGCCGGCTGCCGAGGCCATCATCCCGTCCTAGCTGGCTCTGGGGACAAGGAACCTTTCCCTAAGACATCAGAAGCCCCCGCAGAGAGTCCCCAGCCCCTTTGGCCCCTAGCCCACGTTTCCCTGAAAGTTGCCCACCGCCCCCATGTGTGTATCTGCTTGGGGGGCCCCTGAGGGTTGGACCACTCACGAAAAACCCTTTGTGTCTTTGACCCTTCTCTGCAGGCTGCAGGAGCCCGGGGAAGGAAGGTCTGGGGCAGGAGAGTTGGCTGTCGGCTGAGAGCTCAGCTGAGGGACCTCATCTCTAACACAGAGTTGCAGTACCAGGCACCTTCCTCCACACCCCCAGGATAGACAGAGGGTGTGGGCAGCACACTGGGCTGTCCAGAAAGATCACCAGCCTTCTAGGCAGGGGGGCGGGGAGAGGGGGAGAGAGAGAGAGAGGAGGACCCTTCTGTGCACAGTGGGACAGGAACACCTACCTACAGGCAGGACTGCTGCAGGAAGAGCTGCTGCTACTGCAGGTAACAGTCCTTGGCCAAAGAAGGTTCTAGAACATGGCGGTGTCATTCTCCCACTCTCAGTTGAGCCCGTAAGAGACCAGGCTACTCACTGCAATCCTTTGCTTGGCTCAGCCCCGAGGCCTCTGAAATTGCACCCCCCCCCGTGGGGTGGGGAACAGAGGACACCCCGGCTGCACCTCCAGGATCAGGGGGACCTGGGGCGGCCAGTCGGCTGACCTTTATCAGCCCCAACATACGCTCTGCCAGCCTGGGCTCTGGGGGGGCTGCCGGTTAGTTCCTCCTGGTCTCGGCCCAGCAGCTGGGCAGGGGCTTCAAGGAGAAATTCCCTAGCACCCCACTCCTGGCCCACTGCAGGGAGGGGGGCTGGTACCCTGCGCCCCAAGGAGCACCGGCTCCCGGCTCCTGCTGTGGCCGCAGAAACAGGTCCCTGGGGTCTTATAGGGAGCTGCTGGGAGGAGGGGGACCCCTGGGGGTCCATTCCTTAAGTGTCGGCTTCAAGATGGCCTGAGCTGCGGGGCACAAGAGCACTGTGCTCTGAGACTCAAGGTCACCAGCTGGCGACAAGGACAAGGCCATTCCACCCCACCCCCACCCCCACGGCCAACACCCGGCCACGGCTACGTTCTTGGCTTGTGTGTGGAGCTTGGCTGTTTCTCAGCTGCCACCTCAGTCCCGGGCTTTGGACCACCGCCTCCAGGAAGACCTCTGGGACCAGCCCACCCTCACCGCGCCGCCCTTCCCTCTTGGAGCATGGTGTCTGCCCGTCCATCTCACACGCTGAGGGGCTCCAAAGCTGCCCCCCCGCCCCCCAGCCAGGCGGGCTGTATGACCCCTATTTTACCGAGGGTGGAAACTGCAGATGATTGTGGACAAGTCAGAACTTGAACCCAGGCCGGCCAGGTAGAAGGGCCTAGATGGGTGCAGAGGACAGGATGTCTGCATTGGGGCCCCGGGGAAGAGCCCCACCCCCACCCCAGAAGCCCCCGTGGTGCGTCCATTGGGGACCCTGGGCTTCTGTGGACCTGGGATCACGGCTAGCCTCAGGCTAGCAGCAGGAAGGACTTGGTGAGGCAGGAAGGCCAGGATGGCGAGGCTGGGGTCTGTGGAAGTCACAGGGCTGGGTGATCACGAGTTCAGTGGGGGGAACGTCCCCCACCCGGAACCCTCAGGACATCGGATGCCCTCCCCGCCACACCCTGGCAGGTGCCCACCGCTGCGCTGCCAGCCGCAGGGCTGGGGTTGGCTTGAGCTGACCGGTTCGGCCCCCCGGAGCCTGGCAGGGATGGCTGTGAATCATGCTAACAAGCGAGGGGCGCGGCCCTCCTGAAGCTCCGCCCCTGCCCAGGCACACACAGCTGACCTTGACCTTGCTTTGCCAGGGTCCCAGAACGGGCAGAGCGGCCAGGGACTCGGTGGGGCAAACCAGACCCAGCCGGAGAGCTCCCCAGGGCCCAGGAAGCCCTCCCTTCACCCGGTGACCTTGGGGTGTGCCTTGGCTGGCACTGCCCCCTTCTGTCCCTGCCACTTGGCTATGTCTCACCCTGCGCCTCTGTTTCTCTTCCAAGAACAACTTTGGCAAGTGCTAGTGTGCAACCTGCAAGAAACACAAGAGGTGACAACTCTGGGGTCACAGAAAACGAGCTCACTGCCCTGAATCCAGGACGGCTTCCCGGAGGGGGTATGGAGAGGACAGGGTAAGAGCTCTGAGCACAGCGTGCGGGGGCAGGGGGTGCACCCACAGCCCCTTCCCAGGTCCCCAGGGGAGGGGGCCGGACCTGAGCCAGATGGAACCTACCGGACCCACAGGCAGGAGGGGCCTGAGCCTGGTGCCCTGGGGTTGGGGGGGGACCAGGGCAGGGGCCACCTGTGTGAGGAGACCCCCAAATCGCCACACACCTCCATAGCGGCCATTGATCTTCCTCTTTAGGACCAAGGCCAGCACCCTTTGCATTGCAGTGGTTGAAGCACAGTACCAAGTCCTTGGCTTGTAGAGGTCTTTACTGGGGGGGGGGGGCAGGGTAAGAGATGGGAGACGCAAAAACCAGCAGCCACTTGGGAACCATGAGGCTTTATTTGTTTTCTGGTGTCAGAAGGGTGGGTCACAAGACAGAAGAGTGGTCTCTCCCGGGTGGGTTCATTTCCACAGGAACACAGAGGAAGGCTGGGGTGGGATCTGGTTTGAGTTTCTAACCATGACCTTCTCTCTTGGCCAGGGCTGCCGAGGTGCGCCGTGGGGTTCTGCTACAGCCCACGCCACCTCCCTGGCTCCCACCGCGCTGCCATGCAGAGAGAGAGGCGGTGGGGGCTGACCACAACCCTCCTCCTCTCCCCGCTGCCCCGCCCTCTAAGTCCAGACAGGGTAGCGGAGCTCCAGAGTTATTGCTCAGAAGATAGGAAAGGGGCTGGGAGGCCCTGGACTACAGAAATCTCTGGGTGCTCCCCAAAGAGCCAGGGCATTAGAGGGGTGTACAGAGGGAGCCCCAAGAGGAAAAACGACCACAGCCAAACCTAACAGCCTGCCTAACCGTAAGGCTGAGCTCACTAGCACCTGCGTGGAATCTCCAATTGCTAAGAGACCTTCTGAACAGACTTGGGTCACAGTGGAGTGGGGAGGCTGCCCTCACCCCTAAATTCACAGGAGAAGCTGATGGCGGCATGGCGTAGCTCCTGCCCGGAGGACGGGGGGCGGGGGGGGGGGGCGGCACGGTCCACGAATACAAAACCACCCACAAACACGTAGCCACAAAGACCACAGACAGCAGACACAGGGAGGAACACAGACACGCACGGGGTGAGCAGGCTGGGCGGGGACGGGAGAGGCACGGGGGACACACAGCTCTTCTCCAGATGGCTGGCCGCAGGCTCTGGAGGCTGGGGAGGAGAGGATTTCAATTAAAATACGATTCGGACCCTGCTCTGTGTCCTGGCCTGCTCCTCGTCCTGCCCACAGCGCAGCCTCTTTGCCCCTGAAATACCCATTAGTTATTCACAAAGCCGTCCCTTAGGAGAAAGACCTGTTGTTTTATTTCTGTGCTACTGGGAATTGAACTCAAGGCCCTCACTCGCAAGGCAGGTCCTCCACAGCTTGAGCCAACCTCTGGCCACTCTTCGCTCAGTTCAGCCTGGCTGTGATCCTACTATTGGAGCTTCCCTGTGTGGCTAGGAATGACAGGCGTGCACTACTGTACTTGGCCATGGATTGAGGGGGGCAGAGGTTGTTTTTTGTGTGTGGGGGGAGATGGGGGGTGGGTAGTGGGTCTTGAACTCTGGGCCTGGGCGCTGTCCCTCAGCTCTTCAGCTCAAGGCGAGCGCTCTACTGCTTGAGCCACAGCACCACTTCTGGTTCTCTAGTGGTTTACTGGAGATTAAGAGTCTTACAGACTTTTCTTCCCAGGCTGGCTTTGAGCCCTGATCCTCAGATCTCAGCCTCCCAAGTAGCTAGGATTACGGGCGTAACCCACCGGTGCCTGGCTCAGAAGTTGTTTAATTTTTGGTGCTGGTACCAGAGCTTGAATTCAGGGCTTGGGTGCTGTCCCTTGGCATTTTTCCCCCCTAGTCCTAGAGCTTGAACTCAGAGCCTGAGCTCTGTCCCTGAGCCTCTCTGTGCTCAAGGCTAGTGCTCTACCACTTGAGCCACAATGCCACTTCCAGCTTTTTCTGAGTAGTTTATTGAAGATAAGAGTCTCTCAGACTTTCTTTCCAGGGCTGGCTTTGAACTTTGATCCTCAGATCTGAGCCTCCAGAGTAGCTAGGATTACAGACATGAGCCAGTCGTGCTCAGTTCCCGAGTTCCCGCCTGCTGGGCTGTCATGAGTGTGCACAAGCTCTTAACAAGGAAGTCAGTGCCACAGACACACACACTGCCAGGATCCCCAAAGCCTCAGTGAGAGAGAAATCTCTCTTCATTACAATTTAAGATCAAGTTAAACATGGCACCTAAAGACTGGAAAGCAGGGACTAGTCACCGTGCACTCTAGCGCCCCCTACAGCGAGAGGTGCAAAGGACACACACATGTGCAAACACGCACATGCATACACACATGCACACGCATGCACACGCAGTGCCCACAGATGCTGAGGACTGATAATACCACCATGGGCGGGGGGGGGGGGGGGCGGGGGGGGCCGGGTCACGTACTATCTACTTTCGAGTAGACCCCTAAAGTTCTGTAATAAAAGGTTCTTAAAAAGAAACCATAAAGTACTTTGTGATCAGTCACTCGGGGTCATTGTCCTCATGCCCTTGTGCATTTGGGGTGTCTCGCCACCTCTCTCCCAGTTGTCGGGGAGCTCCTTGAGCTCAGGGCTGAGCAGAGCCCTGGCTCCCAATGCTTGTGCCCAGGTGCAAGATGGGGGGTCTCAGGACTGGATGGTTCTTTCGGGGGGACCCTGAGGGGAGGCTCCTCAGCGCATCTCAGACCCGAAGCCCCATGGAAAATCCACCTGCCACCCCGGGCCGGGTGAGGACAGATGGGGCCCCAGGAGGGTCAGGCCGGAGCGGCTCACCTTCCTGCTGGAGGCTGCACTCAGTTCTCCGCCTTCTGGGGCTCAGCGGCTGGAAAGAAAGGCAGATGGTGTTGAAAGGGGTGACACTGACCCGGATGTATTGTATCATCACCTGCTTTGTTAAACGGCAAAAACAACGAAGACATGGGGGTGTTGCATGGGAGCCCTCACCCCCGGGCACCCCAAGAAGCAGCCACGCCTGCCTGCGAGTTCCAATGGCACAGATGTGGCACAGAGCCTCACCCTGCTACCCCGGGATCACACGAACTTGCTCACATGGTGCCAACCTGGCAGGGCTGAGTGATGCCAGATGGGGGTCTGTGACTGTCACTAGCCTGCTTGGAGCACATGAGGGGTGGCACCCGTGCAGCTCTGGGGGGGCCCTCCCCCCCCTATTGGGGCGGCACACAACAGCCCCGCCCTGGGCCAACGCCCCCCCCATGCCCGTCCCATCCGAGCAGACAGGTACCGTTAGTGGTGATGAGATTCTCCACCTGGGCCTCCTCGTCTCCCGGTACCCTGCCAGGGAGCAGACGCGGCGGGGTCAGGGCGGCTCCAGGGCAAACCCAGGCAGGCTGCACTGCTTGCTGGGGCACGGCCACCCAGCATCCAACCCTCTGACCACGGCATGCAGGGTCCAAGGACAAGTCGGGGCCACAGGGGAGTCAGAGGGAACTCGCAGCCCCCCTTTCCTGGTTGGCTCCCAAGAGAATCCAAGGTCCAGAGCCAGCCCTGGCCACCGTGAGGGACAGGAGGGTGGGACATGATGTCCAGCAGGGGGATACGAAGCATCTACTTTGCTCCAAGAGCCCAGTCTTGGAGCAAGGGACTGGAAAGGCCATGAGGCCATCTGTTTCCCCTCTCCCAGCCCAGCCTCCAAACAAGGTTCCAGAACCTTCTTGCCCATCCCCCCCCCAATCAACAGAGAGGCTGGCCCCCTCCTTCACCCTGAAGTTGAGAGCAATCCTCAAGTTCACACTCAACCCTCACCTAACACTCAATGCCCTCTTTCCCTCCCTCCCCCACCCCCCCTTCCTTCCTCTCTTTGTCTCTCTGGGACAAGTCTCCAAGAGAACGCTCCTGGGTTCCCAGGCCTTCCCAGCCCTGTCTTCCTTACCGGGGCTTCTGATTGAAACTGCATTTGCACCTGCGACCTGGAAAGGAAAAGAAACCATGGAAGGTTCTGGTCCCGGTGTGAGTTCAAGGTCCCGCTCCTGGCCTGGCCCCAGTGTCCGTGCAGGGTGAAGGACTATGTCACACCGAACAGTACTCCCCTGTCTGCAGCATCCGTAGGTAGAGGAGGGTTTGTCTACCCAGAATTCAACGGCTAGGATGGCCCAGCACCACAGGGCCTGGTGCCCTGTGCAGACTCGGCTAGTGTGGGGACACACCCCCTCCTCGGCCCTCTGGGGACAGGGCCTGTCCCCTCCTCATGGCCCTGGGGGAGCCGCGCTGCCCCGCCCCCTCCCGTCCACTCGTTCACCCACATTTCCTTTGAGCGCATGTCACTGTTTACTGAGCATGTACTTTCTACCCCACCCTGCACCAGGTCCTGGAGGAAAGATGGGGGACAGAGGCCAGGCTTCCTCTACCCCACCCGCTCGGCCGCCACAGACAGCAAGGAACAAACCCACTCACTGAGGATCAGGAGAATCCCAACGGAGAACAGGATCACAGCAAACACCAGTCCGCCGATCCTCAGGGTCTGGTAGTCTGCCAAAGGAAGCGGGGCCAGAGATGAAGGCGGGGCAGGGCCAGGGGGGTTGTGGACATCCCTCTCGGGATAGCGCTGCACCTCGCTCTCCGTCTCCTGCACCCCGACTTGCTGAGGCCACTCACCATAATGAAAAGGATCCTTTTCTTTCTCCTCAGCTGCTGCAAAAGTAAAGAGACATTGTGGAGAGGCAGAGGTGCATGCAGGGATTATTCCCCCCCCCCCCCCCACCACCACCTCCCAGGTCTTGGTTCTCCACGAAGAGTTGCTTGAAGGTGAGACACTGGGGATGTATGGAAGGGCGGGGCCTGGGAACTGAGGGCGGGGCCTGGGAACTGAGGGCGGGACCTGGGAACTGAGGGCGGGGCCTGAGAACTGAGAGCAGGCAAAGTCTGCAGCCCCATGCATGGAGCACCCATATTCGTGGCCCCTTCTTGGTCTTGCATTATCACCCCCCACCCCCCTCCCAGGATTTAGCATCTCTTGTGACAGGGAGGGAAACTGAGACCCAAGAAGGCCTCACGACTGGCAAAACACCAGTGCTGGGTTATTATGGTCTAGACGCTGAGGTTCAGTCCAAAAGACCACAAGTGCTGAGGAGTCTTTAGTCGACGCAGCTAGACTCCTGTAGGGAGAGGTAGGCAGGCTGGATTAGAGTTGGTAGACAGCTGTCACTTTCTAGAACTTTGTTAACTGAAGGAAGGAGCACCTGCCAGCCTTGATCTATAGGGTCCCCGAAGGGCCAGACCTTTCCGCCATCTTGGCAGGGGCTCGGCTCTTACCACTGGCCAGGACAGTGGGGGCCAGCAGGCCGCAGAGAAAAATCAACACCAACTCCATGGCGTCTGGGGACAGAAGGAGGGAGACGTTACACCCTGCGCAGCTCCACACCGCACCAACCCCAACCATCCGATGCCTGAGCCGGAGCACATCAATGCCCAGCTTCACTCTGGGAGCTGAGGATTTGAGGGGAAACCAAAGCTGTAGACCTTCCTCGGAGGCCAGAGCCCTGCAAGCATTACTCCAATTAATACAACTAATTAGAACAAGTAGCAGACTTGACACCTGACCCATGTCATGGGGCATAAACTGAATGATACTCCCAGAGGGAACCCCAGGGCCAAGGCCACAAAATCCTAAGGACCCCGGAGATGGCCTCCCTGTGTACTGTGGCCACCTCCAGGTCATTAAGGCAGGGACTTCCTGGCCTGGCTCCCACAGCCAACACCCCCTCAAAAGTCCTGTTTCATATCAGAGAGGGCAGTCAACTAACATCTCAGGCTGGAGGCATGGCTCAAGTGGTCAAACAACTGTCTAGCAAGTATGAGGCCCTGAGTTTAAAACCCAGTACTGGGGCTGGGAAGGTGGCTCAGTGGTAGAGCGCTTGCCTTGCATGCATGAAACCTGGGTTCGATTCCTCAGCACCACATAAGCAAAAAGAAAAAAAAGCCAGAAGTGGCGCTGTGGCTCAAATGATAGAGCGCTAGCTTTGAGCTGAAGAGCTGAGGGACAGTGCCCAGGCCCAGAGTTCAGGCCCCATGACTGGACCCCCCCCCAAAAAAAAATTAAAAAATAAAACCCAGTACTGAGACAAGTAAAAAAAAAAGCACCCTTATAATCCAGCCAAACTAGCTGGGCCCTGGTAAACTGACATGCTTCATCTTTGGAATGCAAAAATTAGGGGATTGGTGGCATGGCTCAGGTGGCAAAGCACTAGCCAATGAGCAAAAGCATCTGATAACAAGTTCAAGTTATTTCTGTCTCAGACAAAAAGAAGGAAGGAAGGAAAGAAAGGAGGGAGGGAGGGAGGGAGGAAAAAAGAAAGGAAGAGAAAAGAAGTAAGTGCAAAAGTCAGCCCTTGGGCTGGGAAGGTGGCTCCGTGGTAGAGCGCTTGCCTTGCATGCACTGGGTTTGAGTCCTCAGCACCACATAAGCAGAAAAAGCAGCAGGTGGTGCTGTGGCTCAAGCGGTAGAGCGCTAGCCTTGAGCTGAAGAGCTGAGGGACAGCGCCCAGGCCCACAGTTCAGGCCCCACAACCAGCAAAAAAAATAGTCAGCCCTCCTCAGAGACTTTCACTCATCATCTTCCCAAATAGCAACAGGGCTAAACAGGTTGTAGAGACAGGCTTCTAAGAGTCAGTGTACAGTACCAGGTCCTGTTGGGAGATGGACCATCTGGGCAAAGGAAGCCATCCCACCCAGAGACAGAGTCCCTTGGACACACTCCAGACTCCCAAGTAGCACAAAGCCAGAGGAGGAGGGAAAGAAGCCCGGAGCAGAAGTGCTCGAGGCCGTTTTCTGGCTTCCATGCAGGTGAGATTGAACGGCTGGACACCTGGGTGGAGGTCTGACTCCCAGAGCTGGCGGTCTCATTGCCCTTCACATCTCGGCCACCAGGGGGGGCAGCACAACCACATCGAGAGGTTGGCATCCCAGCCTTGCTGGGCTCAAGGCTTCCTGGCATCAGGACAGACTGATGTCCACTGGACATTCCAGCAGGAACAACCCTGCTTCGGCTCGATTTGCATGGCAGGATCCGGGGCTGGCTTGGTGGCATGGGCCTTTAGTCTGGGGCTTCTGTATTGTTTTTTGTTCTGACTGTGGAGGACGCTGAATGCCAAGCGAAAGAGTTCAGACCTGTCTTTGTGCTCTAAAGAAAACATTTCTGATCAAGTTACAGCGTACTGAAAGAAATGCTGCCAGAGAGTTTTAAAACGTGGCCTGGTCCCCATCTTCGAGCCGCTCCTGGACCCTGGACAACACCAGCCCATTCCTCACCCCAGTTCTCCCCCAGTGCCTCGTGGCCCCTCAACATGCTATGAAAATCCCAATGGTGGCACAGCTGGCACTGTCCCTGTGTCCAGTGGCCAAGAACAGACACAGAGCCTCTGCAGGGACACAGATGTCTTTGTCTCACTGCTCCATGAGGGAACTATCCTTGCCATGGCCCTCCATACTCCCCCACACTCCCTACATTCCTCTCTTCCTCCTCCCAGGGGGAAGCAGGATGGCCTGGGACTGGCAGGGTGAGAGGGGAGGTGGTAAACATTATCTCCCAGTCCCTGTTTATGGACTACAGGGAGGAGAAGATGCAAGAATGCCGGAATAAAGGACCAGATGGGCCTAGCCGGGTGGGACTGGGAGAGGGGGGGTCAGGCTCCCTAACATTCCACAAGATTCCAAGTTACTGTGAGAACTACACTGAGATGAATGCCCAGGCTCACACTTGTAATAATCCTCACTACCCCTGGAGGCCGAGAGCTGAGGACTGTAGTTCAAAGGCAGAGCAGATAGGAAAGTCTGTGAGACTCTTATCTCCAGTTAACCACCAAAAAGCTGAACATGGTGGCACAGTAGTAAGAGTACCAGTCTTGAGCAAAAAAGCTAAGGGAGTGCATCAAGCCCTGAGTTCAAGCCCCAGTACCAGTATAAAAAGAAAACCCTGCATTGAGGCCCTGGGCCATTACCTAGGCTCCCTGGGGCCAGTCTGGCAGGGCAGGGCCTCTGAGAAGTTATCACCGTGGGAGTGGGGCTCCTGAGCCTGTGTTCCCCAGTTCCCCACTTCCTTGGATGGTTTGGACCATCCTATGTTTTATTTTAGTGCTAGCCCTAGGGTTTGAACTCAGGGGCTGGGCGCTATCCTTAAGCTAATTCTCTACCACTTGAGCCGGAGCCCCACTTCCAGCTTTTTGGTGGTTAATTAAAGATTAAGAGCCTCAGAGACTTTCCTGCTTGGACTGGCTTCAATCCCTAATCCTCAGATCTCAGCCTCCTGAGTAGCTAGGATGACAGGCGTGAGCCACCAGTGGCCGGCCCATCCTATGTTTAGAAAGTGGTTCCATTTTTATCTGCTCACTCTACCAGTGCATTAGGAGGAAGCACTGATCTCCACACTCCCATCAGCCTCAGCGCAGGTAAACAGCCACCCGGGGCCAGCAGTGGGATTTCCATGTCCATTTTCCTCTCCTGTTCTCCCGCTCTTTGAGCCCTCGCTGGTTGCCCAGTCCCTGCTGGGCCTGCGTGGAACATACAATCAGAAGCGCTATTCCGGTGATTATCTCTCCAACCCTGAGTCACATAATTTCATTTAATTGCTGGGTGAAAAACTGCTCCGAAAGAGAAGCCAAGGGATGGTACAGCCACGTTCTAGATTCTTTCTGAGTCCATGCAGCAGTGAGGAGCATCAGGAAACCCATTCTACTGTGCAAATAACAACCTCCTTGTGAAAGACAGAGGCTCAGCCAGGCGCCAGTGGCTCACGCCTGTCATCCTAGCTACTCAGGAGGCTGAGATCTGAAGATCGTGGTTCAAAGCCAGCCCGGGCAGGAAAGTCCGTGAGACTCTTATTTCCAATAAACTATCAGAAAACTGGAAGTGGTGCTGTGGCTCAAGTAGTAGAGCGCTCACCTTGAGCTGAAGAGCTGAGGGACAGCACCCAGGCCCAGAGTTCAAGCCCCACTCCCCCGCAAAAAAAGCAACTGGGGCAGAGAAAGCCAGTGAGTGCTAGATTCTAGACTTCCGCCCACTTCCACCTGTAGACTGTCTCCCTGTGGGTGGCTGGAGAGTAATCCTGCAGCTACTGGAAGACGCCCGGTGGGGAGCCAGCCCCTAGATCACAGGGAAGGACTCCCAACCCCTGGGGACAAAGGACCTGCAGGTGGCCCTTTTGAGGACCCACTTCCTCCAGGGAGCCTGCCACCCTGCTTCTTGCTCCCACCCAGGCCAGCAGGCTGAAGCTGCTGGGCAGAGACAAGCCCTGCAAAGATGCAGGAAAGGCCAAGCCTCTACCACCCAAGCTGCACACATACCTCCAAGAGCAAGGGAGACAGCAGAAGGCATGAGGCCTGCCGGCTCACCCTGAGTGCGGCCTTCCATCCCCTCCCACAGAGAGCCATTTATACAGGTGCATTCAAGAGCTTCAACTCCCGGCCTGGGCGCTGTCCCTGAGCTCTTCTGTTCAAGGCTAGTGTTCTACCACTTTGAGCCACAGCACCACTTTCCAGTTTTCTGGTGGCTTCAAACCATGATCCTCAGATCTCAGCCTCCTGAGTGGCTGGGATGACAGGTATGAGCCACTGGCACCCAGCAGGAGTGTGATTTTTTTTTTAAAGGAAGGAGACTATAGGCTCATGCAGATGATTGGGCGGGGGTAGGAACATGAGTGGGCAGTGCAGAATCTGCCAGTCCATTCCCCATCCACTGCCCACGGTGGTTACAAAGGTCAGGGAAGAAAACATGCCAAGGTTCTTTGGAATGGAAAGCACCAGCAATGCATAACCATTATGTGGCATGACTCTAGCCACACCCAGTGCTGCTGGAAACCATTTACATATACGACCTCAGACACCCCTTACAACAGTTCCAAGACGTGATCCATCAGATCGTTCCCATCACACAGATGGGCAAATGAAGGCCAGGAAGGTTCAGCCACTTGCTCCAGAGACTCACACCGGTAATCCTAGCTACTCAGGAGGCTGAGATCTGAGGATCAGGTTTCAAAGGCAGCCTGGGCAGGAAAGTCCATGAGGCTCTTTAACCACCAAAAAAACCCTAAAGTGGAGATGTGGCTCAAGTGGTAGAGCAATAGCCTTAAGTAAAAAAAAAGCAAATAGGAGGGCGAGGTCCTGAATTCAAGTCCCAGTACCAACACACACACACACACACATCTGGGAAGAGGAGTATGGGTATGACTGAAAACAGCACAGGTGCGCCTAACTGATCACCAAGCAGGGTTTGGCCTAGAGTTGTCTTAGCCAGGCCAGGATGAACCCAAACCAGAACTCTTCAAACTCTGGCATGCCTGCTCCTGTGTGTGTGGTGCTGAGGTCAGGATGGGTGTCCGTGGC